TAATGCACTCCTAATACACAGTAGTAGCACATTAATTGTCCATACCAGTTGCATCCCACTGAGTTCATCCACAAGTGTCATATCTCCTGACATTATTTTCTTTAAGGAGTCGTTGAATTCACCCAGCTGCTCCAAAGTTTCCTTCTTTGTCTCTTCGTACTCTTCCTCATCCAGATCTTCTCTGGAATAAACAAATGAAGGAATCAAAACTGAGACACAACAAAAGAATAGAAAAGCATTTATTTACTCACTGTTTTTTATTGTCTTTGTTATTCTTCAGGTACTGCATGCCAGATTTTCATATACAAAAAGCACACAAGAGGAGTTTATTGTTTTTCTTTTTCTGTACTACACCTGCATTCCTCCAGGTCCTGAAGCTGCTGCATTAGTCTGTCAAGTTGTTCCTCCATATTTTGCCTCAATTTTCCAGTTTCTGATTTCCCTCGAGAGGCCATCTTCAGTTAAAATCCTATTTTTTCTACGGGAACTGAGAGAACTGGCACCAAACAACAGATCACGTTAGGTTTTGTTGCTGAGGTATTTCACAGATAACTCAAAGATGACCTAACGTGCTATTTCCACTTGATGAGAGCAGAGCTGTTAGTGAAAAAAACACAACACTTTATCAGATCTAACAGTCTCTTTGGGGACTACACTGATAGGATAAATGTATCTGTGTGTTGGGAGTTCATGCAAACAGTCCAAGTTGTTTTGTTAGCTAAACAGCTAGCGTGCATGCTAAAGGAAAACATCTTACCGGGAATTTCTTTGTAAACAGCTGCAAATCAGCCTTAGTAGAATGTTAGCATTTACTCAAGAGTTTGTCGTAAATTAAAGAAGGTGGCCGTTCTAGAGGAAAATTAAAAATAATTACTTAAAAACACGGCTATAACACGTTTACTATTAGTCGAGACGTTTGGGATTTGGGGAATTTGTGATTGTGAACGCAGCATCACCAGAGCGGGTGCGGCTCACCGCTTCCTTGTCGATTGTGTCCAATCGGATTAGTGGATCTTACAGCGTAGTCCGTGACGTCAAAGGAGGAAGCGGGTGAAACACAAATGGTATCTGTAGCTGTTTGTCTTGGTACTACAATGACTACATTATTTGACATTATATTAAAAACGCATAATTTGCTTTTAAGTTAAGCACCGAGTTCATGTTTTGTCTGTTTAAGGGTCCTGTATGTGAATCTTGGACGTAAAAGGAGGCTCGCGCTGTGTGCTCAATAGATAAGCTAAAGTTAGCTACTTGTTATAGTCGAATGCTAACGTTTAACATAGCTAAAGCGTCGAGCTTTAGTTTTCTTTACGTTTGTAGTTCCACTTAATGAAGCTCACAGACTGTATTTAAACGAGGTTAAACTACTTTCTTAATACAAATATACTGTTTCCGCCCCCCACAAAGCGATTCTCGACATGTGGTCAGCCAAGTCTTAATCAGTCTTCGTTTCTTCTCCTTGTTTGTGCAAACCCAGCTCCAGTATGAGCCATGGAGGGTCACAGTATAACCAAAGTGGTCCTGCTGGCCTGCGGGTCCTTCAACCCCATCACCAACATGCACATGAGGATGTTTGAACTGGCTCGAGATCACCTGGAAGACACAGGTTGAGTTACATGAAAATTGGATCTTTTACTGTGATGCATCTCCACCTTTATCATCCATTCATTTTTTTTTTTAATTCAGTTACCCTCCATGCTGTTCAACTGAGTTATTCTAAAGTCTATTATCTCAAATATTATCATCATCATTTAGTTAGTTAGATTTAGTTAGTTCTCTAAACTTCTAAACTTACTGTAGGTGCAAATGTGTGCATGAAGGGTTCTCTGTTTCTATATGTTACCCCTGCAACAGATTTGCAATCTACCCAGGATGTACCCTGCAATCCTGAAATGGATAAGCGGAAGAAGATGGATAGATGTGCAAAAATTAAGTGAAAGGGGTAACTTTGTCTTAAAAAGGGATTGTGAATCAGTACATTGGAGAGACAAGTGTTTTGGATAAAATTGTTATACCAAAAGTCCAGATACAAAATAGTTCAAGAAGGAATTATGCTTTTGTAAATTGATTAATATGACAGTGCAGAAAAGCTGGCAGTGTTTTAATATTGCATTATTATTAATAGACACTATTAGGTTGTGCCTCATACTTGATTTGGGAGTTTTATGCCAGATCCCCTTCCTGACCCAACCCCATCACATATTTTGATTTGGCAGACCTGGGATCAAACCAGGGATCTTTTGTTTGTTAGGCTAATGTGTAAACCAATACACTATCGAGCTACAACCAATTATTTATTCAGTAAATGCTG